GCTTCCTCCAGTAGTCTCATTTTAGAAAGATTGTTTCACTTGGAAGATGTCAGGTTCAAAACGTAGTCAGGATTCAGTTTTTGGTAATGAAAGACTTGTAAGGTACATTAAGTATTGCTGTAGTGTGTCAGAGCAAGCACCTGCTGGTGGAGTAAAATAAATGCTTGTAGGGGGGAGGGATAGGTCAACCTCATTTTCCTTAATTCCCTAGATCATGGTGAGGTATATAGAGGTTCAGAGCTATAGTAAGGCTGTCTGTGTCAGGACCATAGCAACAGGCAGACCAACAGGAAGATCTAATTAGCTGTTAGGTTAATTTTGTTCCCTTTTCCAAATGACCCCAAAGTTACCAGCTTGCTTGCTTCCATTTTTCCTCCCTGTGCATGCCTGTGTATTGGGTCTCTGCTTTATAACTAGAGCTGAAACAGAGGAGCAGTATCACACTGTGGGTTTGATTGATTGTTTCTCCTGCTTCTGGCTTTGTTTCAGAGAAATGCTCCTGTGGGTACTGCCCTGTGTTTACTTTTCACAAATACAACAGAAAGCTCTGTCTTTGGAACAGGAATCACAAAGCAACCTGCTACTCATTGCTTACTTTTTTGTGTGTGTGAATCATATATTGTACAAGCAGGTTAAAATCTTTCAAATGATCCTAATACAGCGCTATGAATCCTTATCTCAGTAGTACTGCTTAGGCATTTTCCTGCTTACTTATAGCAGCATCTTAAGCCATCAGCTGAACTAACTGGTTATTTCATATGATAAATGCTCCTGTTTCAGGAAAAAAAGACCCAGGAGTTCCCAACTGCCAGCTTCAGGTTATGATATTTGGGGCCAAGAACTTGCCCATGCTGAGATCTGCTGGAATGCCGAACTCATTTGTTAAAGGGTATGTATGAGACCTAGCACTTCAAATAGAAAATGTCACACACATTCTGTGCAAATGTATGTATTAACATGTTTTCATCAGGAGATGGGCATATGAAAGTGGCATTGTTCACACTCTTAGTCAGACTTTCTTGTAATGGTGACATTTGGGTGTCAGCACAACAGCAGCACTCAGCAGGATGGTGATGGGTCCCACCTGCTCTTTGGGTCCTGAATAGAACTTCAGAATTTACTGCTGTCATTAAAATTTAGAGTTCACTAGTTTAAGTATCTGCCTTTTAGATATTAGGAGAGGAAAAAACAAAGTGCAAATCAAAAAGGTGTTTTTATTCCTATTTTCAGCTCTGCCTTTGCAGAATTAAATATAGCTTTGGATACATTGAAAAGGAAACTTTTATCCTCTTCATTCTAGACATTTTAAAAGAGGAGGGACTTAATTTTTCTTCAATGCAATAAGTAGCTTGTATGTGGGATTATTTTACTTTCTTGCTGTCAGGCATCAGATGCCATTGGAAGTATGATACTGGGGTACACTTACAACATCTCATATAGCCATTTCACCTGCTGTGGCACCTATCTTCAGTGAAATGGGTGAACATTTTATCTACTGAAAGGCAGGTTTCAGGCAGTACTGGATAACAGAACGGGGAGTAAAGACTCCTTCAGCAGTCAGTGACAGCAAAGCAAAAGCAGACCCAAAGAGCCTACGTGCACCCACACTGAAGGCAAACAGGAAAAGGAGTAAGTCCCAAAATAAACACACTAGCTCTATGTTCCACCTTGCACTTAAGCTGATTTTTTTTGCTATTTAAGGCAAACCAAAGGGCCCTAGTTGATTATTGCAAATGTTCTGTTTTCTGGTTGAGAATCAGTAACCTTCTGAACAATCATTGTTTGGGGGAAGTTGTCTTATCCTTCCAGACCGAGCAGAGGTAAAGCGAAAGTCTCCTGTCCTGAAGAAAGAAGCCTTTCCCTGGTGGAAACACTTATTTGTCTTTGATGGTGTTACGCCACCTCAGCTACAGCAATCATGTCTACACTTGACTGTCTGGGACAAGTCAAGTTTCAGCTCAAGTGATCAATTCCTAGGAGGAGCCAAGCTTGGTGCAGGTAAGTTCTTTATCACTAAAAATTGAAGGTAATTGGGGAAAAAGTTCATTTTGTTTACATTCTAAATAATAATATTTACAGTGTGCTATTTATTACCTGCTGTTATGGGCCTACACATACAGGCCCAGCCCCTGTCCTAAGCAACTTGTGATCTTGGGCTTTGATCCTGCAAGAACGGAGGCATGTGCGTTAGTTCAGGCCTGTGCAGAAGCTCAAGGTTGTCAGTGGGAATTTTCAGGAATGCCATTTGTTAGCATGGTAACTTTTAGGGGTCAGAGCCTGGCCCTGCTAAAACAGGCACAGAAAAATTGGGTGGAGTTAACTCATCTAGAGCTCCATATATGTTTTTTAAGACTTGTTCCTTGAGCTGTTTTCTATGAATTGGCTAATGTTAAATACTATTGCATCAAAAAGAAGCACAAGAACTAATGATCTAGTAGGCTCCAACCTTGCTTATATTTGTGCTTATTATTTTACATCCACAAATCAACCCAATCAATGGGAGACACAGCAAGTGAAACTTGCTCAAAGGGGCTATTGCATGTCTGAGTTTTGGGCTCTATTCTAACATGAGAGTGAGCTCTCTTTCTCAAGGCTGAGAAATTTCTGAGAAACCCTCTGCTTACTGAATAGGCCCTGTTTAACTGGTAGTTGAGCAGGGAAGCATTGTCACTTGAAGACTGCCCAATGGAGTCTCTCACACCTGTCTTCCCAGAGAGTAAGTGCATGCTTTGGTTTCAGTATTTGAGATGAAAGGCTCCAAAAGAGTGAGGCTTGGTCACTTTGTTACGGTATCAGTATGCACTTTAGAGTAGTAGTATCACTAGTAATAATGCAGTGCTGTGCAGGCTTCCTTGTAAGCTTCTTTTGATTGTCCTACCCAGCATTTTCTTTCTGCTAGAGCAGGGCTACCTGCTTCTGAGTGAAGAAGACTAAGCCCTAAGACTAGTAATGCATTAAAGTCACTGAAGGTGAACTGAAGCAGCAGACTTAATAGCAGAATGGCACTATTAGTATGCACACTTGCTCCACTGCTTTTAGTCATACAGCTAAAACCTCTTCCTTTTCTGCAGGCTGAGTTCTTCAGCATGTGATCCTAGTTTAACAGGATGTAAATAATGCTTCACAAGTATAACTATAATTTATTGCAATTAATGCCTTAGGAGCTACAGAACAGCTGAAATTGCTATAGAAGTGGGAGAAGCAGGTTCTTTGTTACCTAAATCAATTGGGCCAGAAGTTGGGTAAGGCCAAGTGAAAAGTAACTCTGTGACCTTTCCTTTTGCTTTCTTGCAGAGGAATCGTTGGGCTCTTCAGATCCTGTTTCTCAGTCAGTGCTCCAATGGCAGGAAGTGCTCCGCAGCCCAAACACGTGGATGGACTTTACACTTGTACTGCATTCAAATAAGGAAAACTTTAAATCATGAGAGATTACCACACAACTTTTCCTTCCCCATGTGTGATGTTTCAACTTCAAGTGGCACATACCTTTCAGGTCTGCAGAAAGGTACACTGCAACAGTACCTACTCCAGCTTTTGAGGAATAGAGTTATAGATTTGAAAGTGTGTGATGTTCTGAAGGTTTTATTTCTCCAAAAGTTAAGGCTTTATCTGTGTCTCTAGCTGGAGTATAAGGTTAGTATTGTTTTTTCAGGAGTGACATACTCAGTTTGAAATGCAGTATGTTGACAAGGCAACAGTTGCCAGATGGTATGCAGTTTTCCATTTCTGGGCATGGCAGAACAGTTAATTATTTCATTTAATCACAAATAGGAATACTTCTTAAGAGAAAATAACTGTTACCTTAAAGTTACATGCTTTTGCTCTAATCTTGATGTTTTATACATGTTCAGAGAGAATTGAAAACTAGCTTATCTTTAACTGCTTGCTGCAGCTGGGTGATGCTAACACCTCTGTGCTTCAGATTTCTCTACAGTGCCACCATTATTTCACATGACTCTAAAAAGCTTTGGCCCATGGCCACATGCCTCTCAAAATATGTGCTGTGTCATGGTGCTTGAAACCAGTTGAATGTATAAATTTTCCCACAGTGGGAGTGTGGGACAATAGCTTATAGAGTAAGTGTGGTTGTAGGAAGTTCCTTGTTCTTATCAGCTGCTGCTGTAAGACAGTACTAAGAAGTCTGATCCACATGGTATACAGCACAGGACAAGAGTTTAGCTAAGGTTATAATTTATTCATGTGAACTGGTGGAAATGCAAGCTTAAGGCTCAACTACTGTGTCAGTTCACTTTGCCTCAGATGGAGTGTTACAGTCAGCAGAAACTTCCTGTCTACCACTGTAACTAGTGCTGCTGTTACATATCTCCAGTCATTATGGCAAGTATTCTCCTTTCTTCCTTTCCAGGTCAATATGACTCTTAAGTCCTTAAGAGTTAAAGACACAGGGATTCATATGCTAAGCTCAGGAACTAAAAGAGCAGTAGGACAGGTTACACAAAATACACCCCACACAAGAAACACCTGATGCCAAGTCCTTTGTTACTTTGCAGATCTTTTATTTAGATGTTTGCTGCTGCAGATAAAAAACTCACACAAGATTCAACTCAAGTATAAAGCAGCATAGATGTTGTAAATGGAAGAGAAGAGCTGACAACATACTGTATCTCACTTTCTAACAGATTTTCAAGGAAAGGGGAAGATTGTGGGGAAGGAATGGTCACAGAAATGCTCTCTACTAGAGAGAATACAACTGTGATATAAACAAGCAGTCCCTTCATCTTTGGAGTCTGAAACTTTAAATCAAACATTTAAAAAAAATTAGAAAATTTGTTAGAAAAATAGGTGCAGTAAAATTGTATATATTGGATCATGTGTACATATAACAGTTTTCATTAAGTAAAAAAATGATCTTTACAAATAATGCTTTATAGCAAATAATCAGTTGCACTGTATCAGACTACAGTGTTATTTAGGCATTTTTACAGATACAAGTCTTATTAAATCTGAAAAGTAACAAAATATACAGAGCAAAACTATTTCCCTTCAAACTAGTATTGCAATCCATGTATTGCATGTTTTTTATATATATAAATACTACACTATAACTGATCAGTAATGAAGCTGGAATGCAAACACAGTAGCGTATTGGATTCCAACAGAGTATTTGCCTAGTTGTTACATCAGGAGGGTATCAGTGTCCCTATGCCACACTTCTGAACCATCGTTACAGAATTTTTCCAGTTGAGAACAGCAACCAGAAGAAGCCTAATTTCTACACAAAGTAGTTCTAAGGTGTTGTCAGTTCTTTTGGGGGGGGGGGGAAGGGGGGGGGGGGGGGGGGAAACATGGGCATCAAGACCAAGGAAAAAAAAACGGAGTGTACAAACACATGTGCACCCATACACACAGGTGCTTGCAAATCCTGAGTTCTACAGCCTGTCTTCTCATCTGTTGGACTTTACACTGTAACTAATAATACAAAGACATATGGCACAAAATTCACCCACAGTTGCTTGTTTTTAGACCAAGCTGAATCCAGCACCTGCACAGGACACATATCTTAACTAGAAGCATGGTGTATTACAATTTGTCTTGCTTAAGAGAGATGTAACATAAGGCCTTTTGGCACTAAGCAAAGGCATGAGCAAGTTATCAGGATCAGTGGTACAATGAGTTTTTAACTATACCAAATTTGATAGAAGGTATGGAATAAAAGGGAGATTCAAACACCTCTGGGTTTAGAGAATATTTGTTAAGTGTCATACAGGGGAAAAAAACCCACAACAAAAACAACCCCAAAAGAAAACAAGAACACAGCATTATGATCTGCCTTTCCCACAGTCCTGCCTTCTTGTTACAAGCATCATTACATTGCCTCAAACTCATCAATTCTCTGCTTGGTGTTGCCTTGCCGGATCTGCCGCAGCGTCTTGTACTTGTCACGTCCTTGTCGCATGTTCTCTGAGTGGATAATATCATTGTGGGTCCTCTTATTTTCATCTCTAGCCTGGGCCAGCTCATCTGTCAGCGCCTGCAATATAAAGAATATTAAATACAGATTATACACGAGAAGCTTTCAGCTCACGACAGTAGTGTTTTTTGGTGAAAGTTGACAGTTCTTAGGTGACTGGACAGATCAGTGAAATGGATACAACATATGCTTTCCATAAACACTATGGATGATGTAAGTAATCTCAAAGCCTGAGCAATGAGAGTAATCTTTATATATCTTGTCTTTAATTCAAACTGCCTACAGGAACTGCAAGCAAAGAGAAACTATCATGCTTTGTGTGCTTAACCAAGTGGTTAAATCATGTGTTTTCCAGGAATGATTGTTTCAATTACTCCATCTCCTCCAAGCATTGTCTTACCCTCAGTTGCCTCTGTACACGTTCATTCTTCTCTGCTTCAGTAATGCGTTTCTCCTCGTTGCGGTCATTCCTGATCCCCTCGCTGGAGAACTCTGCGCTGTAGGCAGAGTACTCAGATCCTTCATCTTGCAAGTTATCATGGACATGGTAGTTCACTGGCTCATAGACAGGCGGTGGGGGTGGAGGCGGAGCAGTCATTACCAGGTGTAGCTCCTCTTTTGTCTTTACCAGATCCTCCTGGGCTTCCTTGGCCTTTGGGAAAAGAGTGAAAAATATTTCAAATGCATTTCTTGCTTTAAACCAGCTTAATCAAGACTTTAATGCTTATCTTCCCAGTTTTTTCAATCTACTATGAAAAGCAAGAAAGAGGGAATTAAATCTCCACAGCTGACAGTATTCTGTTATAGTCTTATGCAGAACATCTTTTTTTTTTTGCTAGTGATGCTATCATCATCCACTGTGTAATGTGCAGGGGATCTGAACAAAGAATCTTCCAATAAAACAGTCTAGCAAAAACAATTCTGTGGGAAGCTACAGTTATCTTCATCCTGTTCACCATTTTAAGAGCTGTAGGCTGTAAATATGGGTTCCACAGAGCAAGAACTTAGATTCCCAGGTTAGCATTTTTAATGCAATTACACACTAGGCAGTCAGCTTCCTTGCTGCTTCAGTGGTTCTGCCCTCCCATGTGGTCAGCAGTGCTAGTTAGAGGGCACTGGGAGCACCAGGCACTCTGAGCCTTGCATGGTTTATTTTTGGTGTTAGTGCATCAAATTATTAAACTCTTCCAGCCCAGGTACCAGGAAGCCATTGACAACAGCACACACTCCTCAAGACTGGTACCTGCAGTGTGGCTGCATTTGCAGCGTCTTCTCTTGATTGATGTAATGTTTTCAGACATTACATCATGGATTAAATGCATCATTTATACGTGTGCCCCTTCCCCTCCATGGCTCCAAAATGATGATCACAACATTTTTAGGTTTATAGAAGCTTCCATTTTGAATTTTGACTGAAGGCTTGTTGGAAAAAGACTGTTTTGCAGGCATATTGCACATTCATCACAAGTCTGCCCTTCTCTGCTGGTGTACAGATGTTTATCTCCACATATTTAAAGAAGTCATACCAGGCTAAGCACTGCAGTATGCTCTGCTCAAGTGTAGAACTTCAGAGCAACTTGGTAAAGCAGATACTCACTCTGATTTGCCACTCTTCAACCTCACTCTCTTTACGCCTCCTTGCCTCTTCAAGAAGTGCAATCTTGGCTGTATACTCGGCAAGCTCTGTAGCCTGTTAAATAATAAAACTGGAATTATAAGGACTCTTAAAAACCAAAACCAAAACAAAAAAAGCAAATGCAAAGAAACACTGTTGACTGAGAAAAGACCCAAGTGTTACACTCCACTGTAATAAAGACTGAGTAGGAAATCAGGAGCAAAAAAGTAGATTGCTCATGATAGAAACCAGTGCCACAATGATGCTATCACATGGTCTAGTACTTCACTGCACTATGCTTTTCCCCAGAGAACAAGGCTTTGCCTTACTCAAAGGGCACAGTAACATGCCTGTGTATCTTATACTCAAAATGACTGGATCTTACCAGCTGTTCCTGGCTCTTTATCTGGTCCATAGTTTGTCTCTCCAGCTCTTCCTTGGCCTGCAGAGCAGCCAAACGATCAGCTTCCAAGCGTTCTGCTTCCTCCTGGGCTCGCCTCCTTTCCTCCTCCAGCTGAATGGCTCTTTGGATCTGATCTGAGAGCTCTGGAAAAAGATGGATCAACATGGTTAGTCCACAAGCCTGGTCGAAGTGAAGGGACTACAGACAGTCTCAGGTAACTGCAGAAGTCATGACAAGCACTTTACTCCAGCTTGTAATACCCTTTCACTGTGCACCTCCAAGTAATTATTTGCATAATGCATCAAGTAACTGAATTCAGAAGTAGTCAGCTGCACATTATAATTAAATCTTCTGCAAGGTATTTGCACTGAAGTCTGTAACACTGACATCATTCTGTTGCCTTTAATTGACAATTTACTGCAAGGACCAGATGTTGCTGTCTGCAATCTGTTCATCTGTGCATTGAAACAGAAGCTTCTGTTTCACTGGAAAGACTTGTTCCCAAAGTACTTTTTCTGTTAGAAGTTAAGTAAAAACTACTTGAGAGCTGAACTCTTGCTCACTGCTGGAAGAGGCTCTCTTGACAACAGGGAAAAACAGAGCATGCCTTTCAGTTCCCAAATACAGTCTGCAGATTTTATGGTACTTTCATACTTTGGATGATCTCAGCAGCGTGTGTGTGCACGCACATGTGTATTTATCTCTATAGGTAGATATTAGTAAGCCTTGCCAAGAGATCCCAGTGTCACCAGATTTAGGCTAGGTGTAGGTGGCAGCGACCCATATAACCCTTCTGTGGAGGGAGCACAATACACATGGTCTGGTTAGCCAGTACAAGTACTTTACCTTTCTCTGCTTTCTGAGTCTTCACCTCATACTCTTGTAGCCTCACCAGCAGCTCCTCCTTCTCCCTCAACATTTGCTCTTTCTCCCTCTCAATTGTCTCCCTCTTCTTCTTCTCATTTTCTAGTTGTTGCCTGTTAGAAACAGATTTCATGCTTGAAGCTCACTGTCACACCTAATCTAGAGCCAGACAAGAAAGCTGGCTGGGCATCTCTCCAGGCAACTGAATGGGAAGCGACCGCCACAAAATAAGAGCCAGAAGACAGAAACACATGTAGGCTGTTCCTTCATCACTTCAGAATTTTTGCTCAGTTTTGGATACCCCATTTCATAAAAACATTTGTATTTTTGTTGCCCACCAGAGAAATTTAGAACACCAAATAGCTGCTAGATGCAGACAGAGAAAACCACAACTCCACTGCACAACAGAGGAGACTTAACTTTGTTAACTTCTGTCATAAGGCAAGTCAAGGAGGTGTAAAAACAAGAGCACTGAGGGAATGAAGACAAACAAGGCACAAATACGAGAGAAAAGCAACACAATTTCTTGAATCAAGCAACCTGCAGCCAGTGGCAGAAGTCCAACAGAATTGCTAATCCTTTTTCCTTGCCTGTAAGAGGTCTCCCAGTCCCCTCTTCTCTCTTCACAGTGTACACACATGCTCCCTTGTGAAGGTTTCTCCCTTACTCCCAACCATCCCATGGTCCAACACATGAATCAGGTCCTAGCACTCAAGAGCCAGGAGAACCCCTCTCCAGGTATGCACCACCACACATGAGCCCACTGTGCCTTTACTTGCACATTTCCTTGCAGTTCTCAAGACTGCAGACAGGACAGCAGACTACATGGACACAGGTCCAAGCCAGAAGAGTAACACTTACAGTCCTGCTGCAGGATATCCTGAGTCCACCCCTGTAAGCCAGAGCCATAGGGCCACATGTACACCTTATGAATGTGGGACGGCTCGTGGCCTTGCCTAAGCGAAAGCCACGTTACCGACTGCTGCCCTGCAGGTACAGCTGCCTGCTCGCCCTGGGCAGTTTGGTGTCATTTCTCTCTGCCACCCCATCCCTGCCGTCTGTGTTCAAACTCACCTTTCCATTTGTTTCTGTTGCTTCTCCTCCCGGGCCTGGGCTTTCATCTGTTGCACCTCAATGGTGTCAGGCTTCCTGCGCCGCATGTACAGTTCATGGTTGCCCATGCAGAGCTGCAGGATCCTCTTGTTAATTCTCAGACGAGGGGCGTAAAACACAAAATCCTAAAAGAGAGACCCCACACAGTTTTCCAAGTATGCCTTCTCTTCTCCCAGCTAACTGCAGACAGATCATCTTGCCACTAATTTCACTGTAATCGAGACACATACACAGGCCATCTGAAGCCAAAACGATTGTTATTTATATTATCCATTTAAAGTCTACATAGAATTGAAAAGTTACTCTTCTAGAAAAGGTATATTTTAGAGAAAATTAACAATCTCCATTTAGAGGAGACTTTGTGGAGTTCGGATATGTTGCAGAAGATTCTGGGTTGGCAGGTAACCATCTGGGCAACTCATAGACCTCTAGTATTGAGTAATTAGTTTTTAACTTTGCATGGGTTTGTGACTGAAAGATAAAGCATGAAACTAAAAAAATATTGCAGACTATCAAAGTAACTTTGTAGAATTTCCTGATCTATTTGAATCAATATTCAGGGCATCGTCAGTGTTTTTTCAGAGAAATACCTTCCAATATCATTCTCTCCTCTCCATGGCATTTCCTAGTTAAGTTAACCTAGGCTATTATAAGAGTGTCAAATGAAAGCTATTTTTTTTAAACCGCCAAACATATGGGTTATTTTGAATATTGGGTTGCAGGCAGTAACAAAACACAAGTTATTCTAAAATTTCTGATTCAGCAAAAAGAACAGCCATATGTGTTTACAATGCAGGCTGAACTTACACAGTGAACAAACTCTGCATCTTTGTGCCTTTTTTTGTGTATTTTGTGGACGGTGATAAGGGCAGTGGGCAAGCTACCACATTACCACCATAAATCAGTACCCATTCCTTAGAATCACTGTCTATGGGTTGCCTCACTGTTAGCAAGAGGTGGAACTGAGAAGGGGCACACAGGCTCTACACTTTTGCATGGCAGCAGTGATCATGCTTTTTAATTACCTGAGCTTGGAAGCACAAGTTGTGGCTATCTCTGGGAAAACTAGAAGTCACGAAAAGCTCTCCAGGTACTATTAAGAAGAACATGAATATGCTGACAAAGACCCATTTTCTTCAATGCATTTTCCTAATTCACATACTGACCACAAAGGAGGCAGTCAGCATGGTGTGTTTGGCTCTGGGCAGGATTTAGCGGGGGGAGCACTTCTGAGCTGTACAGGTCTGATACTGCCAGCTGTACCTGTAAGCTGTTCATCTGACCTCCTACTTCTGACAAGTAATTTTAAAAACATACAGTTTATGTACACTGTGATAAACAGGTCCTATCCTGAGGCAAGGCTCACTTACATGGAAGTAAGCACCAAGGGCATGGATGGTGGTTGCATTTATCATTTAAGGCCATAACCAAGGGACAAAACATTCACCTAAGAACATAAAAGAATCCCCTCCTTTCCTTATCCCCAGCCTCCCTGGTCTTGCATAACTGGGAGCATCACAGCTTGATATTTTAAATATAATATGCTGAATATGTTGGAGTATGTAGGCAGACAGGCCTAAAAATTAAAAAGCTTATTCTGGGCAAGGTAAGACAGGACTCTAACCATTACGTTAGTGTCCATTTAAACACTGACATGTAGAATCCTCCAAATTAAAGGGGAGCTTCCAACCCACATCTTGGGTGAACTGAGTATTTTGCTGTAGTTATAATAGTTGCCTTTTAAAAAGGAAATAGGAGCACATGAAAAGACCCATACAACTTCCTGAATGCTCAGAATTATGTCCAGATAAATACTTCTTTCAGGCATAGCTTTCAAAATAACACCACCCAGAGGGAAAAGGACATTTGACACAGAGAGAGGAAACATAACTGAGGTTTTCAATGTTAACACCCTTCTGTATCAGCCTCTTGCAAGTCTCCCACCTCAAACTCAGTCAGATTTACTGTTGGGGAGTGGATGGAAAGCCATAATCCGTAAAGAGGAGATGAATACTTAGTAATGTGTACAACCTGTCCAAGAGGCTCTTCTATTGAGAAAAGCACACCTGACAGAACAGCTTTCTAACTCTGCGGAGTTTTGTTGGCTTTCACTAACAGCATCACAGAAAGAAGCTCCTCTCCCCCCAAAACCCAGGTTGTTATCTGGAGTAAAGCCCTGCAGCATGCTGTGCATTAGTATCCTTTAAATTACTGGGAGGATCTTTTTCTCTTGAAGAGATTTATAAGCCATCACCCTTTGCCAAAGCCAAACTGCTTATTATTGCTCAGGTCTGTACTTACCCACCAAGGCCAAGTACTGGGGTGGGGGAAGAGAATAAGAGGAGGCCTTTCTCAACTATTCCAATAGTTTCACAAGACTGACAGAATGAGGTCCACCTGTACCAGTTATTCCACTTTATGTTCTCGACAGGTCGAAGTAAGTTGCTAATTCTTCACTAAAATAACTGAAAACATGTTTGTAAGTATTGAAAAGCAACATGCACAGGTAGCTACATTTCAGCTACAAGGCCAGGTTGGATGGCGCTTTGAGCAACCTGGTTTAATGGAAGGTGTCCCTGCCCATGGCAGGGGGGCTGGAACTAGATGGTCTTTAAGGTCCCTTCCAACCCAAACCATTCTATGGTTCAGTGCTGCACAGAAATCATATCCCTGCCATTTACCCTAGCATTCAAGAAGGTCAATGAACACCATGGTCCCTAACTGGCTTTTACTCTTTCAGTAGTGTGGAAGTGAGCAGTGAGCATTAAGATGGAAAGCCATATGTATCCATGTGGTTTTGCAGTAGCATTTGAATTATTTTTGTGGGTGTTTTGTTTTTTTTTTTTAAAGGAACAAAAAAAAAAAGTTACCCACCAGCTTCCATGCACTGAAAGAAATGGAGAGAGGACTAGACTCAGTGTAATCTGGCTACACAGAAAACACACAGAACTAGTGAAGAAACTCAGATTTAAGCATAAGGCTACCTAGTTTGCTAGAAAAAAAGGAGGACTCCACAGTTGTAAAATCCTTGTCTTTCTCCATGTTAGATACCACCATAAGCCCTTTATGGTGCACCGAAAAACAGACAGCTCTAAATACACCGTAAATACGAAGGCTCATTTTGCAACTAGCATATCTGCAGCTTTCTCCTCTCCAAAGACTACTTTATTTTGAGATAAAACAGTATTAGTTGTTCATATGCAGTATCCAGGAATCCATTATAGATATACTTACTGGTGCCTTCTTGTCAATAGGCTTTATAACAAACTTCTTGTCATTGAAAGAGATGTTTCTGATTTCGCTCCAGGGGAACCCAATCTTTGGAGTCAGTCTGGAAAGCAGAGAATTGGTTTTAAGAGATGCTGCAATGAACGTTTTTTTTCCCCACATTGCTTCTAACACACAGACTCAGTGGGACGCAACACTTCACATGGCTTTCCCAACAGAAAGAAGACAGTAGTTGAACCAAAAACTCACAGAGAGTAGGAAAAGCAGCCCAATCACCTCCCTTCCAGAGTCTCTTCTCATTATGGTCAGCTGCCCTACTGACCTTTGGCCATGCGGTAGGGATGGTCTCTACTGAAGCCACACACTCAGCTTTACCAAACACCTGCTTTAAGTTCATTTCTTTGAAATCAGGGCCTAAAATCCACAGCGTGCAGACTCTAGGTGTATGTGCTGTGCTTCCCGGAGGCTTCTCGTACATCATGGGAGGCATAAGCCAAAGTAACTCAGCTGCTCCTCACACCTTCTAGCACCCACAGAGGAGTCTATCCTGCTGTGTTACAGCTAGCGCAGTTACCTCCACTCTGCCTTTACCTCTGAAGTGCTGGGCAGGCACAAACACAACTGGTAGAAGCAGGTGTCTTCTGTTTTCTCCCCTAGATTACAGACAAGGCTAGTAACAAAGAGCCCTGTTCTTTCCTTCCATGTAAACTGCTCTTTCAGCGCATCCCACTAGTCACCAAGCAGAACTTTACACATTGGTCGTGCAACAGGCTGCACCATGTGGCTCTATCCTTTTGGAAAGCATCCCTAGGAAGCAAAGGGCAAGATTCAGACTCCCAGCTCTTCCTCACTGCTTAGGAGTTCAGGTCTGTTGGTTGTTTAAAATTACTTCTTTAAGCTTCACTAATCATTTGAGATTTTCCTCTGCTTTAATTTCTCCAGACTCTTGCATACAAAAAGCATGTTATTCATGAGATCAAATGTTTCCGAGCCATTCCAGTACTTCACCCTTAACATACCTGCCCAGCTCTGCAGTAAATTCTAATATTACAAGGACTTGTGTATTTGACTGTAACTAATTCCTTTAATTCCCCCCAACCAAATATTTCAATTTTTATGTTTAATATCATGTTATTATTCTTTTATTCTTCTCTTATCAAGGGAGGGTATATTCTCTAGACATAGGAGTTAATGATTAAGAATTGTCTTACATAAATGATAATACCAACAAGCAATCTTTTTGTTACTATCTAACCCCTCCAATACATGTGTCTCTGACACACACTGAAGTGCTAACAATTATTTCTAGCAAATGGTTTCAAGACATGAGTATTTAATGTTTAGCACTTAGAGAAACATCTATCATCATGGTGAACCACTCGAACTCTGTAAGAACCTTTCTATGGAGCTCATTGGTTAAGGAAAAAAGCTGGCCGTTTTGGAGGAATTTGACTCATTGTCACAGAGATGGAAAGCTACTACATAGCACAATTTCACTGGGCCCAAGCATAATAAAAAACTTGCTTTGTTTAAAATCAGACATCAAGAAAAAAAATACATCCTCTTCAGAACTTACCATTCCCTAACCTTTAACTCAACTGCAAGATTATGCAAGTGTGTGTGTCTAAGATTAAGTGAGAACTGTAAAGAAAACAATTTGATTAGACTAAGATTAACTAATTATTCCAGCCTCCATCATATTAGCTTAAGTGTTTCAACCCTAGACAATACAGTATGATGGACAACTAAAATAATTCCCTTTATTAATAAAGTTCTATTGCAGACTCCCCTCTTTAATTCAGGAAAAAAAAAAAAAAAAAAAAGCTTGAAAATACCTAGAAGTGGGACACTGACATACACTGCAGTATAGAGGTCCGCACACCTATAGCACAGTCTCATTTTCCTCAGGTTGAGCTTCAACAATGAAATCTTTGATTTTTCACCTTTGCTGCAGTCCCCAAATTTTGCACGTACAAACCAGAGGGGCGAGGTTCACATGGCTATTTTTCTAGTCCCCATATCTGCTCAAAAGACTTAATTACATAGTAGCAAGAGTTAGAGCAGAAACAAGCAGTTTATTCCAGCACTGTATTTGTTTTGCAAATGTTCTTGATAGCTCTTTACAGTCAATGGCTATATCCTGTCTGCTTCTGCAGCTCGAAAAACCTGTTTGTGTGACCATGGTTACATAGCAAGACTAGTCATTCAAGACTGAAGTATTACATGAGCGAAACTACTTTTCTTTCAAGTGACACTCCTTGTTTTCTGGGTGACAGCACATATTAGCATTGCAGAAAAGACTGCATTTCTCTTTGCCATCTTAACAGAGGCTCCAGAGACTTCCAATTAATATTTGGGTTGCAGTCAAAGCTTTTTGGAGGCAAAGATGTAGAACAGGTGAAATCCCTTCTGTATTGCAATGATAGTCTGTTATAGGTTAGTGACATGAAACCAAGACTTGGAACACAGGGAGAAAAAAAAAAAAAGAAAGAAGGAAGCAGCCTAGACCGCATCCCTTCATCTAGAAAATGTCTATTTTAACTCCCCTTCAATCCTTCAGTTGTGGAGTATTAGAAGAGACTAGCAGGCTTAAGACACAGCTGTTCTCACCTTCCTTTTATGTTTATTTATAGATGTAGTCTATCATTTCCCACCTACTATCCAATTAATAATGGCTCTGCCTTTACCAGAAGGGCTGATTAAAACTATGTGTACCTCAGCAAGACCTCATTTAATTCCTCCTTCACAGTAACTATATAGGTTAACTCCTCCCTGGGTTCTACGTGTTATCCAGCTTTGGTTTTGTGTCCACCCCATAATCTGTCTTTTTCAAAACCAGGCAGTTGTACACAGCTATCATTAACTTCAGTATAGGAATGGCCTTAGATGTCCAAACACTCTGCAGATATGTTAGCCTATCTAGGTTCTCATATTGTATCCACTGCTGGCATACCTGGCAACCTGACTCAAGGAAAAGCTTGGCAGACTCCTTAGTTCAGGGTTCAGCTCTACAACTGTGCACAATTTACCAGATGGTATTGTACTACTGACATCTCTTTTTATATGGTAGGTAGCATTAGCAGGTCAGGCTACAAAGGTCAGGAAAGTCACAAAAGCATAAATGATGTGAAAGCTCATTTCCTAGCACAGCTTCAGCTACTGATCCAAAATTGGAACACGATTGAGTTCTAAACTTTGCCCTGATCCTGTAAATGAGAAATGTCCCTTGGGTCCCACACCAGCCCTCACTATGGGGTTTCAGAGGTGAAAACAAAAGCCTTACTTATCATCCTTTTCATAGATGTTGAGCCCCAAGGCATCAACCCCCAGCCAAAGGTCAGTTCCTTTCTTATTCTTGATTTCAAAGTAGTTGATTCCATACATCTCCAGGTCTTGAGCAATCTTCAGGTATTCCAGCATGGCGTTCTCTCTGGTTGAGACAGGAAGGAGAGCAGATGTTAGCTTCTCATTTATCTGACTATCTCAGAAAGCACAAAGCCCTCAGAAGAAACAGGTAGCTTTTCCTAAACCGACACATCAAACAGAGGAGTTAAAACTGAATATTCACCATCTGGGATTCACTTTGGAAGTTACACTATTACACCTGTGAGCACACACACACAGAGTACTCCCATTTACCAAGCCCTAGTATTTCCAGATGGAAAATTAGCAACATTCATCTCTCTCAGCATTCATCCTTGTCTCAAGGTAGTCAGTAGGAAAGGTATAGTATCTGAACTTTCCGCATCTGCCAATGCAAATGCTTCAATGAACATAAGGTTAGACATACACCTTTACTTTTTTTCCACTCAAAGCCATCACTGATGGCTGGATCTTCAGGAAGAAGACACTATCCTCAGCACCAGTGCAAATATCCTACTGAGTTTTACCATGTGATTCAATGCTGGACTAGAAAATATACACCAAGAGTTCCCCCACACAGGTGACCCTTGGAGTCTATTTCAAAGCATGTTGTACAACTGCAAGGGTAAGGTCATCAACCAGCAACAAAGTGTCCAGCCTAAGGACCAATACCAAACACTTACTTCAGCATGCCACTGTGTTCAGCATGCCACACCTGGATCCGTTCTTCCCATTGCTCTCTGGAGAGTTTATGCTGGTCCATCACCCTACACAAGGAAAGAGGTATTAGCAAGATTAGACTTTATGTTCTACAGTATCCACTGATGCTGATCTTTGCTATAGCCTTACTGAAAAATTAGTCCCACCCATGAAGCCTTACTGAAACCAAGAGGAAGATCCTACCCAGCCCAAAGATGTACTCTGTGAAGCAGAGCTGAATTGCTCTGAATGAACAAAAACCCTCCGCAAAGCCTTTCTGGTCACCGATCAGGGACATGAGAGGCGTAAGCAGAGCACCGCAAAAGAATCACATATATGCTGTAGACATCAGAGGGTTAAAGCAAAGCAAAAGTTGGTGTCATTCCTGGAATTAGACACTGCTGCAGAGTGTCATCAGGACTTCAGGAAGTGTAAACAGAAGCATTTGTCTGATAACATACACTTATCCTGTGTGGGGATGGCCTATGTAGCCTCAGGACATGCTTTCCAGATACAAGATTTTTAGGACTGTACATTAGGATTAAGGACACACAACACAACCTTCTTCAAGGATGAAACATTCTTGACTGAATGCTGCTCTTTTCTTCTTAAAGAGAAGACATTCATACTGCCAGTTACCAGCATGGCAGCAATGTTTAGGAAAGAAAAGCCAAATTCAAAGTATACTTCCTCTCCCTAACTAACCCAAGGAGAGAGCACAAAAACATACACTAATATGACAGATAGAACTAAAAGAAGGAAAAAATCTGAATGCATACAGTTCAATTAAAAAAATAAATAAATCATGCTTTCAGTGAAATTCTTTGTATTTAACTACAATACAAATTCTTGACTTTAAAAAAAACCCCAAACTACAACAAAAAAAACCACCAAAAAAATGGGAGACTGCATCAACCAACTCCTTCACCTTTGGGGGATCAGACGTTCTGAATTGAGGTATCCAGGCTTGTGCACATCTTTGTTGTAATCTCCAAATTTGGCCTGCACAGCATAGGAGCCAAGAAGTACTGCTGTTTCAGGAGGACAGTAGATCTCATCGCTGAGGATCCCTTCCTTCACCTGCAGGAAGAAGAGCTTCTGTGTGATGTCCTGGATCAGCTCTTCAGACACATCTTCTGGGAAGAACTTGGCACGGAATTTGAACTGGAGGGGATTCTCCTTTCTGATTTCTTGAGCAGAAACCTGAGGACATAGGTAACACCACAACTGAGCAAGGTTGCAAACAACAGAATAAATTGCTTTCACACAGAGGAAAAAGATTTGAGGGATTTGCCTTAAGAGGTGACTAGCAACTCATTACTAGAATTCCTTAATTCTGGCTGCTTACTGGTATGAGAACACAGGGGAGACACATTATGTTTTCCAACTAAGCTAGTAAATTCTGTTTGCAAAGCCATGGTCACTGGAGAATGATTTACCATGCTGTATCAGATGGTAAACCCATCCAGTATGGTATGTGTTTGATGGAGAACAGCCCCCTGACATTAAAAAGGTATGTCTGACTGCCCCATCAAGAAAAACAGTTCACACCTTCATAAGAACTGCAAGTCCGCAAACAAGAGCACATCAGAGGCATCACTGTTCTGTTACAACTGCCAAGCCTTGAAGTGACCTATCTTTCTGATTAGTGCAACAACTGATCCTGCACAAGCAGAGACTAAAACCATCACTAGCCAAGATGTTCCTCCAGTCACAGCAAGAAGAGCTGCTTCCACCCACCAAAGTACAATATCAAGTTACTGCTGTATATCTGACCAATGCTAGAAAGCTTTCTACAATTCACACGGAAAGGGCAAACTTCCACCATGCCACACCTCACCCCAATCATTCCCATAGAGGTTACAAAGTTCCCTCTAAAAATAACGGTGGAGTTATGAGAATTAGGGAACAATCAACAACAGGTACAAGGTTTATAAAGTTGCAGCCAATAACACATCAGGAATCACGTAAGCTTTAACCTTTGTTCAGCAATTAGCCCGAAGTCTGTTACCTTTTTATCAAGCTTCAGCCAAGTCTGGAATCCTTTGTTGTCCACATACTGAAGACCAAAGTACCACACTTCTCGCAAACCTATGGTTTTAACCACCTGCAACAGAAAGGTCAAAAAAGAGTTATTGTAGGTAACAGTTCACTTGAGGTCCAGGTATCCCCGCATCACCTGCAGGTGCAGGCAACAGCCTATATCTACTCATCTGGCATCTCTTAATTTCATCCTGTAGACAAAGATATACAGCTGCCATAGTAGATGACAGCAATGGCACAGGCTAAGCTACTTGTCCCACCCAGTTCCTAGGACAAGATGATTCTGGGGAAACCGGGAGAGACAAACAGGGTGACAGGCCATCAACTGCTAGACTGGTACACTGGCAGCAGGTGGGGCTTCTGCTTGCTTCTATCTACTGGCCCCGCTTAAAACTGTACTTGGTGAAGCAGACGAGTTACTTCTTGTAGCTTGTAGCTTTTCCGAAGCTTATGGTGAGATGGTCTGTAATGGTGTTAGTACTAACGACAACTAGTAAGCAGTACTAATAGCTCAAGTGATCTTGTCTGCCAGTCACCAAAGATTATTTGGCTGGAGGAAGCAACTGAGGGATGCTTCACACAGCTGCTGCGGTAAGCTCCCTGTGCGGTTTTGAGAATTAAAACAAGCTGCATGTATTCTCAGTCAAGGGCATTCTTTTTTTAACTCACAGAAAGGCTGGTTTTGAAGGACAAAATATACTGATGGCCCAACATTAGGATAAATTTCATTTCAGATATTGTAAATACTAACCAGACGAAAGATCCAGAAACACCATCCATTGACAGGATGGCACACTTACTAGTAAAAATAGTCCTGTTTGGACATGTCCCTTTTCCTCAGTGGAGGAGATAGCCTAACAAGTTCCTGACCTCCTCCTACTCTTGACCGCTTGTTCTTAGAGCCCAGTAGTTTGCTGCCAGCTCATCTACCTGTAAAGCTGTGCTCTAGACAGAGACGAGATCTGGAAAGATTCACTACATAACATCAATGAAGTAATCCAGATATGTATTTGCAGAGTAGACCCTCAAAAAGTGATGTAGGCATCACCACAGGGAGCCGAACTGAGTTGGAAGGCAAGAGCTTTTTAAAACCACTTTGCAAGTCAGGACAGTGTGACAAGACTTGAGAGGGTGTAGTTACATGTGTTACAAGAAGTCTAAGATCTCAACCAAGGATCTGTTTCACCCTTCCCATTTATAGTATTGCTGAAGACACTCTAGCTGGAGAGCAGACTTGAGAGAGACAATGATTCTAGGATACTTAATTAGTTTTTGCTGTAGTTTCCCTTAAATTTTCTTACTGATGAGCTAGAAGCCAACAGTCTGTACCTGGAAGCCAGAGCTTCCTGGGGTTGTAAGGAAAAACGCACCATTCTGATTAGCACTCTGAGAATTACTGTTTGTGTGACGTTGAATAACAGGTAAATCTATAAAGTTTAATGATATAAGCAGACCAAGCAAATTGCTTAGTAGTATGAAAAATGTCACAAAGCAAATATAATTTTTAAGGATAAAGAGGTCAGTGCCTACTAGTTGAAGAAATGAGATAGCTTCATAGCTAGACACTGTGGGCTGTATTCAGACTATGGTTTATATATACTACTTCAGCAGGGTCATAAGGAACTACTTATAACTAACTAGAGTTTATGTTAAAAAAAACCAACCCAACAAACAAAAAACCCCAAACCCCACAACTTTTTTTTAAAAGATCTGGGGTCTGAAAATGCTTCAGCCTTTACTTGACTAAAATCCTTTTCCCTCCACCCCCAAAGTGGCTTGTTTCACCACAGAGCAGACAAATTTTCTGACAGCTAGATAGATGTATTTTTAGAAGGGTCAGAACTGGGCTTTACTCAATCTAGCAGAAAAGCAGGGGTATGTTGAGCATGGTACTTCCTATTGCACAAAAGTGTGTTGCAACTTTGTTAAAATAAGAGAGTTGTGTAAATCAAGCAGTTATCAGGTCATCATCTCTGAATGACTCTTGCAACAGAAAAAGTACACATTTTCTATAAATCAAGTTAGAAATATTGCAGAAGTTATGACCCCTCAAGTTCTTCCCAAAACCTAAAGGCAAGGAAGGAGAAAGTATTAAGCTAAACTTCACAATTTGACCATTTGAGTTCCAATACGAAGAACAAAGACATGAATGTTTTAGACTGTATGCTGGGAAACTGTTTATAAACTTCCTCCATAGCAAAACAAGGAAGAACTAAGAACCAAGGCATTACATTCAAGATGGGAGACACCTCCATGCCCTCCTCAAATGCATGAAGCAGCAAATCTTAAGTCTGCCCATTCCACCCAGAAACGCATTGACTCCCAGCAACTGCCAGTGGCACACTCTCCTCCATTTGAATTTGAAATCCTCCATTTCCTTGTGGCCAGGATGGCACACAACTGCCTGGGAGGTACTCCAGCCAGCTGCAGAGCCCACTGCATTGGTTCTCGGGACACCTCAGACCATTGTGGAGCAAACTCTGCACAGGTCTCACTTGAGCAGAGCTGAATTCAATATTCACAGGTTTCCATTATTTCCCCCTTTCTATAAAAGGGAGCTATAATCCACCTTATGTGCAGGACACACTTATGCTAGAAAAGCCTAAAGCACAAGGGCACTGCCAGAGTAGTTTTGCTAGCTGACAGCCAGGCCAAGAAATCATTTTGTGGTTTTTAAAAATAGCCTGCTTCTTCAACGCCCTTTTCCGCCCACAGTTTGCAGTTCAAGTGGAGCCACTCCCCATACCTGCGAAAACCTGTTGCCTCCACAGGCTTTATCTGAGTGTAAACTCCATCTGAGATAAGGGTCTAGTAAAAAGCTTGCACAGCAGAAGTGAAAAGATGTCAGAACAGTTGCAGCTAAACATACAGTCTTCACCTTCCCCAGTTTTGTGCTGCACAATTCTACCTTGCTAGAAGCCACACTTCTCTTGATATGCAGAAGTGCACCCTAACAAGGTATGGACTATAGGTAAGAATTTCCAATCACAGGTTTTAAACCTGAGCCATAGAATGTAAGAAGCAAATCTTCACGAGGTGATAGTCTATCCCAGTAGTGCAGTCTTCAGAAATCCAGAACTACCTAGACAGCAAGGTAGAAGTATCTTGGATCTGAAGCATCCTGCCTTCTTCCATGTTCTCAGGATTTTGTGCTTCTGTGCTGGAGGTCAAGAAAGTAGCTTCTCTTCTGCCAGAGAGATGACTCTGGCTCTTAACAGATGTAAACATTAGTGAATAAATGGGGGAAAAAAGTCCTTATTGAAACCTTGTCCTAAGGAACACAGGACATACTTACACTGTCTGATCTAAGGCATTGCTTTTAAAAACCTGGCTTTTAGTCATTTGGATTTTTGTACCCTCAAAGATGAAGCCAGAGTTCTCTGTTTTGGGTTAACATGGAAAGGGCTGAGGGAGGAAGGTACCCCAATGCAAGGGTGATCAGCAGTGAATGGAAGGTCAAACACCAGATGCTGGTTCCATAAAAATTCAGGTTTCATATGCACTTCACCAAATTCCCAGTCAATGAATACTTGAAGTTTATTCCACATTAGTAATAATCAAAAGGAATTCAAGTTAGATTTAATGCTAAACACAATCTGTAGTACTCTGTTTGGTCCTGTGAAGTTCTGCAGTGATTATAATTTGGTTTCCTCCTTTCACTCCCTCCAAGAACCCACTAAATGTTTTCTTTGTCTTTTTGTGGTGTTTGGTTTTTTTTGTTGTTTTTTTTTTTGTTGTTTTGGAAAAGTACTTCTCACTGCACAGTTGCCATAAGGCCTAGCAAGTTCTAGCTAACTCACTGAAATGAGAAATTGTACCAAAAAAACTTAGAAGGAATGGACATTGTTCAGCCAGTTCTGCCTCCTTGAGTTAAAGCTCAACCACCCTTTGACATCAAGGCTAGGAGGGGACAAGGGGAAAAGTGCAGAGGAATTGCTGTAACACTTTATAAACAGCTTAGTATGTGTAACTGAAGTCTACATAGATCAATTCTTAGTTTTCAGGGTTCCAGCAGGACTAGCTAAAGCAAACTTTTTTTTTTAAATTCCAGAACAGCAAGTTACATTTTTCTGCTGAAATCTAGGCCTTGCTTGATTTTTATAAGAGCAAGCTACTTAAGAAAAGAATAAGAAAGTTTTACAAAGTGCTCTTCATTTATTTTAGTTGTCTTTATCTGACTTTTGTAGGTCCATCTCCAAACAGATGTGTATATTTTTAATGCAGTAGCAGGAAGAATAACAGTAAGGGAGGAGAATCTTGACTACTCATGCCTTTCACTTCCCTGGGAACCCCCAGAAGAAGGCTAGACAAGTCTCTGCTCCACCCTGCTGTACAGGGGCTTCTTACAAGGCATGCTGCTATAGTTGCTGCATGGAGATCACAAACTCTTCTGTTTTTCCAGTAGTTTGGAAAACTTGAACACTTGTGGCAAGTGGCTACCTCCAACCCAGCTTCTGAATGAATATGCAGCTATGCCTATGCTTTCGTCAGCCACCTGAAGACCTGATTCTGAAGAGTTTTATGCACAGGGACAACATTTCAACTTCAGAATTTAAGAAATAAATAAGAGCTAAGCTCTATTTCAAAGAGGTGCATTTTTACACACTACCTATGCTGTCTAAATATTTTAGATCCCTTATGACACTTCATCACCCAACACTGCTAGGAAGACAGGTTTCACTGGAACATAGCATACCTGCAAGAATTTTTGGTTTTTTCTTTTATTGTGATGGAATTTAGAGACCTCAGTTCAGACCAGATTAGGAGGCGGAGAGAAGAAAGAAAGGCAGGTTTGGAATCCAGTCTTAAGATAACACTATAGTCTGAAATGTACTCCAAGCTTAAACAACAAGAGCCCATACCAACCCTTCACTGACCTGGTCAAACAGCTGTTTGCCTGTAGTGTTTGGCTGGATGGCAAACTCCAGCTCTGCATCCATAGTAACAACTCGAACATTGATCTAAGGAGAAAAACAAAAAGCATTACGTAAGATGTATTGAAAGCTATTTCTCAGTGTTAACACAGAACTTCATGTACAATACAGTCTCCACGCTTTAATGCACTACTGTAACCTCTATAATATACACACTTAGGCCCCAATTAGATTTGTGTTATCACACAAGCAAACTTAATTGGGGCACTGACTTTGCTGTCTTATCCAGATTGCTCTGCAGGTTTTCCTACTCAGCACAGGATTGGACTGACCTTCTGGCTAAATGAGAGGGCGTTTCAGAGTTGACCATTTCCAGGCCTAAACCCCCGTGGAATAAGAGCTCCTGTGAGTGCACAGCATAGCTGCCTGCAGGCCATCCCTTGGATTACGAAAGGCCCTAATGACTAAATTAAATTTAAGACTTATAATTTAACTTCCATTTATATTAGAGCTGGAATTAATCTGAGGTTTTAAAGGCAAAAGGCTGCAGATTATTCTTACGAAGCAATCGGCATTAACCTGATAAATGTTCATTCTTTCCCTCATAAAAATCTACTCAGCACATAAAAACAGCAGTTATGGGTACTGAATGATACTACAGGGCAAGAGTTCACAAAGCTATTGCTGTTAGTGAAGAAACAACACAACCAGATTTACTGCAATGGCAGAAGTAGACTGCAAGACAGAGGTTACTATTGTATGCAGAAGGCAAGAGTGTTTAATGACTAGAAAAAGTCTATTAGCTTTTAATCAAGAGGCAAAAGCAGCAACTAAGCTTGCAGGGAATAGCATAAGGACCTGCAAAATGGCAAATCAGGAAAGGATTATCTCCAACTGTTCTGACTACAGGAGATTATATTGCTTGCAATATTATACTATGTGTCAAAAAACCCAACAACCCCAAAACAAACATAAAACCCCCAAACTGGGATGATCACGTAGTATAGTTCTACTAACAAGTTAGATTTGTAGCTTGGTATCTTAAAGGAAAGAGAAGATAAAGTAGACACAAGGCAAGGCCAGACAACAGGTAAGCTACAGGCAGATAAGATTTCATGACAATTTCCCCATATTTTATAAATGTCACGTTACTGAAATCCAGAGCTAACAGACCAGGAGAGCCTGCTACAGCTGGTGCCCAGCACAGAGGCACACATTTGAAAAAACAAGAGGAAGGGGCAGAAGAGGAATAGAATCACTCACTACAAAGCCTTGACACTGCAGCAGTTTCCAGCCACTTAATTATGTATATTTAAGCTCTAGGATAAATGTCAGGTAAAACAATGTTATGGTTAACACAGAACTGTGAATAAAACAAGTTGCCTCAGCTAGTTTCAGACAAATATAATAGAAAATTTTGCATTCATTTTTTAGTGAGACATGAAGGCCTCAAGTGTCTTTTAGCCTTTATATTGTTTCTTTCTCCTGCTCTCTCCCAGATGACAGAGGACCCTCCTATAGAAAGATGACTGAAGATGGTTCCTAAGTCATGAAACCCCAGAACTGAACCAGAGAAGATGACTGCTTAGGTGTCCTGTCATTTTCAAGCTGTATTTTTAAAGGAGTGTCCTTTAAATTAGGATTAAAAACAACAACAAAAAAAAATTCCTCTAAAAGCAACAAGAAAGAACAAGTAAGAAAGGTTTTCTAAGAGTTCCTTTTCCCATCTGTAGCATTTGGGATCGATAATGGAGCATGGAAGTGTGCTTAAGGCTTTCTTTCTGTGCCTTAAGAACCAAAGGTTTCCCAAACAGTGTTTCCAGTGTAGGAAGGGGGGGAAGTTCAGATACCAAATTCTCAGCAACAGCAAGGCTGCAATTGGAAAATGTGACCTTAAAAAGCTCTTGTTGCTTAATCCCTCTCAACAATAAATCCCTAATCATATTCTAATCCTTTTCTACCCCCTTCAAGAAAACATATGCTTGTAATCCGCAGTTTTGTATTGTGCAAGTTATTTGTACTTCTGGCTAAAACACCTCAGTGGGTATAAAGTAAGTATCCTTTACAAGCTAAAGGACTTGAAAGGCTGTGCTTCCCGCTCCTTACCAGAAAACTTGCAGGTTGTTGGCTGAGCACAGAATTCCAGCTGGTACCAGTACGTTCGTCTTTTACTCCATCTCCTTCGTGGTTATTTGCTAGTAAAAAAATGTAAACTCCCTAGTCTAGGGAAATACCCTGTATTACTCCAATCCTAAAAGACCCTTCCAGATACAGTCCCCTTCCTAAAGGATCAGCTACATAGTGAGCTATTTAGTGCTAAAGCCATCTACTTGCTACACCTTTTAAGAATTATTTTAGTATTAAGACCAAAAATTTAAGTCATCTGCTTTCCATTTCAATCATTTAAAGCCATAAGCGTGTAGGAACATGACTACTTGGTTATCCAACAAGCTTTCAAGGACACTTGGGAGATGTGGTAAAGGTTAATTTCTGTGTTCTTAAAGGACTGAACAACCAGCAGGCTAAAGAGGAATTCCCTGGTGTCCCTGCTGTGTCCTCAGACAAGCTGCTAGCCACATGACAGGCAGAGCAAGAAGAGACAGGGCCTCAATTGTCAGTTGTCACTTCAATGAGTTGATGACTGCCTGGGAAAATCCTTTGGGTCTCCTTCCTGCCATACTAAGTCCTCTTGCTTCTCATCTCCAAACCTTAGCCTTGATTTCAAGAAGAACATAATGGTTTTAACAGTGTTCTAAACAGATGTCCTACAACCACTCCACGCAAGCTTTTAGCCACAGAGAAGCTGGTAGTGAAGCAGGCAAGTGGAGCTTAACCCACTTGAAACCCTGATTTAGACCATCTGAAGAAACCTTGACATCTGTTAGGCTAAGAGGTGATCAGTTTGGCATTCAGCTCAGACCACATGAAACTCCCCATGGTGCCAAGACGATCAAATCAAAACCCAAGGTGCTAACCAATTCAAGATATTGTTGGGGAGGAAAACAGAGTAACTCAGACTAAGTTCTATCAGCAACAAAAAGAGCAAGACACAGTTAAGACAACTTTCACAAGTCCTGCTTACCCTGTGTAGGCAAGGCAGGTCATTTGTAAGATCCCTACCAAATCCTGGCAGTACCCCAGGACAAAATTGAAGGCATAACCAAAAGGAAAGCAGGTCTTAATTGTTTCAGAACACAGGTGAGTGGAGAGCGGAGAAGAGCACATGGCTGTTATACATGAAATAAGGATGTTTAAATGCACATAGCATGCTAAAAACCCTAGACAGTAAATTTTAACTTCCTTCTCCTCAATAGGCCAATGACATAACACTTCATGGTTATATTTTTATGTTGAAGAGTAACATACTTAAAATGAACAACAAATAGCACCTTAGAAGGTTTGCTCGTGTGTATGAAAACATTACAAGGTTTTCCTCTTCCCCATCTTAGGATGCATAAAATTCCTAACCAAAAAACATGCTTTTGAAAAGGCAATGCCATTTCCATTAAACGGAAAAAAAGCTCCATGAATCGTAACAGACAACAGAAACAGAAGAAATTACTACACCAAATGACTGAACACAAATTCCATGACCTCAGATTGTTCAGGGTGGACTGTAACACGTTACCTACATTTCCAGCTGGGACAAGAGAGTAGAAGTAAGATGAAAGATCAAACTGGAGAGAACTTCAGAATATAGTTTAAATAATCATAAAGCTGTGGAAAGTTCTTGTACTAGAAGTTACAGTACTTAGAATGGGATCTTCCCTCCTTTAGCAATGCCCTCAAGTCATGCACTTGTTCTTACTTGCTTTTGATTTTTTGTTAAGACAACATCTCTTCTAATGCTAAGTCAGTAGATCAATCTATGGGACACTGCAGCCTTTCAGAGACCGCGCACCATACAGTATCTAACTTGGAAAATTAAAGTGCCATTTGAAAAACATTCAGAAAACATTGTCTCTTAAGGAGGCAACACATTGCCAACCAGCTGAGTGGCAACATCTTCTCTGTGTAAGATCCAAGACCTAGATGGGAACCCAAGATGACATTGCCTCTTCAATCTCTTCCTAGCATAAATGCCCAGTTTCCAGGTGTGTTGGACACTATGCATGCACAGGTAAGTTTTTTTCTGAAGTCTGACTCTTGATCTACAGCCTGTTGGTGCAGAATCCATCTCTGGTTGCAGGCAGCATAGTATCTTTGAAGTTAACCATCCCCCTCCTGGTACTGCAGCTCCACCACAAAACATCCTACACTGAAGGGGAAAAAGAAGGCAGAACAGGAGAAAAACCCACAGCACTCACACACAGTAAGCCATCATGGATATTTTGCATCCTGATGCATGAAAATAAATACCCCTTAAGTTCACTTGCATAATAAAATAGTTCAGTGACACCATGAAGTTGTGCAAGTAATTTAAAATACCATACAATTTATTTCCAGTGAATACCTAAGATAAAGGGCAGCAAATACCAACTCTTACCCGTACACAAGACAAACCAGTACTTAACATGTTGCATATCATTATCATTATGCAGCACTAAATGCCTCAGACAATGCTCAGGAATGTTTTCTTCCTCTTTCCAAGGAGGGATAAAGACCAGAGTCTCTTAAATAGCAGGTTTATGAGTACAAATGCTAGTGAAGTATCTTTCCAAGTGGTGGCAATTACCAGTATCATAGTGGAGAAACCTAGACAGGCATGCCTTCTTTCTTCAGTCACTGGATGTCTGGAAATCCCAGGAAAGTAGCTATTACATGTAAACAGATCAACTGCACAGCACAGAGGAGATAAGGGGTTTTGAAGCGCTGTACCTGCACAGCACATAGTGTGAAAAACAGCATGAAGGCCTGTTAACGTTTCTTGCACATACGCAAACTGACAGTATAGCACATGGACATGCTTGTGCTGAAGGAATGTAACAGTCTTAACAACAAATAAGCCAAAGTAGTGGTATTAAGAATACTATTAAGAAAGCAGTAGTATTAAACTTACATCCTCTCTTCTGCATGTCTACTCTTCCACCACACAAGCAATAACTACTATTGTACTTGTAATAAATAACAGACAAGCTTTTTGCCCT